GCAAAAAATTCAGAATGAAATTACCCAAGCATCTGTGCCACATGACATGTACTAGTTTTTACTATTGATAGAACTAAAATTACTTTTGAATMGAGCGAAAATCAATGATTATTATTATTATTATGATTATTCTAATAATACTAACAAAAAAGGCATCGAGCTAGTGGGAAAAAACCCTGCTAAATGATTATACTTCTCGATACACTATTGCTGTTCATATAATGTAACAAAACATTCATAGCTCTAGCGTTCTCCAAGGCAATTTTTCGTCCTTCGAGATTCCTTTGGGATTCCTTTGTTACTAAGTTACTTCACTTGTGTATTACGACGATTCTTTGTGCCATCTTGGCGAAGTATTTCCCATCTTTGTGCAAGCAATGTTTCTTGATATTATCCAAGAATTTCTCCACGGCTTCTTGAMTGCTATTTGAACGAAAATTTATCTTGAATGTTAGAAAATCAAGTAAAAGGTTGCCTTGTTCAGAGCTTGCGTCGAAAACCTCAGAGACATCATAATAATGCTCTTCAAGGTGTTCTTCAAACTTCCAGGAATTTTTCTGGAGGACTAAGGAGATGTTTTCATTGACCAGGGCATACTTTGACTGACCTAAAGTTTTTTCCTCACTCTCAAGCAATCCCATTATGTCACTTCCATCAACTGTGCAAATCATCAACATCCCTTTTTCTCTCAATTCTGTATTGTAACAGTGTACCAACGCCTCCTCCACGTCTATATAGTACAAACAATGGATAAAGTGTACTATATCAAACTTCTCATCACCTTTCGGCTCGACTGCGTAGTCTTCAAATGTTCTCGGTGGATCGAGGTCGAAGGCTACTTCTTCACTCTTGAATTCTTCTTGTAGGCTTTCAACTGCAGCTTTGTAGATGTCCAAGGCGTTTTCATTAGGTTCTATAGCTCTGTTAAGCATTTTGATTGGTCCAACCGCCCCTTGCAGCTCTTTTAAACTTGTAAAATTACCTTTGATAATCTTTAGGATTTCTAAATCATTTTCACCGTTTCCACTTCCAATGCTTAGGATGTTGATTTGGCTCTGTTTCTTGAGGTCGTARCCAATGGCGGCGATGGCTGATGGTAAAATGTCGTTTAGAAGCTCATAGAGGTTTTCGTTTTGTCTAGTTTTGTYGATGAAGAATTTGAGCCGACGTCGATACTCGGTTTCACTGTTCTTCCARTGCAGGTTCGCCATGACTGTCTGGAATAATGTCTGCGAGTCTTGAATTTCTGCTTTGTCTTACACGAAGCTGTGTCACACTAACAGGGACATAAGCTACGTAGGTCACCCCATAAGAACATCCAGGCCTCCTCCACAGGCGACTATTTTTTCCCCATTTGGGCCTCCTTTGTAACGGTCATATCTGGGGGTTTATTTTGGCTAAGAGATCATTATAATGTATTTTGATTTAAATTTTCAAAGACAAAAAAAAAAGAGTTCACTTTTTTCTTTTTCTCACTAAATAAAATGTCAAAACAACAAATATACTTATTCGAGGATTTTCCAATATATTTTTGCATTTAATAAATGACAATTTAAAGGATTAATTCGAAATRTCAGCTAYCCTGTTTTCAGYCACATAGGTCGCCGGTCATCAGACTACTTCAGACAATACGATCTACTTTGAAGATATCAAATATGAWGACAAGCTTTGACAGGCTTTGATCCCAGAGCATTTCATTCATATTTTGGAYYCTTCAAAATTATYCGCTCCATAGATTTCATCTGGATGTTATCCCGCCGCTGGATAAGAGTTCGCTTTTGTATTATAATAACTTTCTACTCGTAATTTGCAAAGTATTTCCCATCTTTGCTCACAGAATATATATTTTTAGATTAAACTATGTTACGTTAGCCTGCGTGCAGCCGAACCAAAACTTGGTTACGGATCACTATCGTGAAATTTATAGAGGCGACGTTATTTTTTCTGGGTCATGCACCTACTTTGAAATTCAGGCGAGAATAAGCTTAACTCAATCACCTTCTCATCCGTATACCATGAATCCTAAACTCAATTATCAATTGCTTTGTAATTGATCGATGATAAGATATCTCATTTATGTCATAGAACATAACGGCCGATGCAAAAAGCTACAATCGCTCCCGACTGACCATCATGGTTCAATATCTCTGTGAAGTGAAAAAGAAATACATTTTACCAAGCTCTGTATTTGTGCCTAAACCAAAGGTAGGACACAGTTTCAGTTGGTCTTCTTGGCAGCCTGTGACACAGGATGC